AGAATCCCTTTGCAATTAAATAGTAGATTACTTGGATAATCCTTTGTAACTGGTCATGCCTATCTTCTCATGTTGCCCCTCGACCCTGGTGTCATTGCAGTAGCTGCCTCATTTCGCTCATGAGTTCCTTCAGTGTCTAGAAGCAGCAGAAACCTCACAGCTTCCCTGGAGTGGGAGGGAAAGGGTGAAAGCTACTTCTCTCTGTCCTGAGGCTGGCAGGGTGGCTGCAGCCTTGAATCTTGGACATACTGCTCTACCTCCGCCCTCTGCTTAGACTCACAGCTATGTGAGCTTTCAGTAGTAGCCTCCTCCCAAGAAATGCTGTGGTTTGATGAAGTAATAGATGACTTTTTCTTTTTCTTTTTTTTTTTACAAAAGCTGTTCTCTTTGGTTGCTTTAAGCTGAGGGATTGCTTAACTCAAAGGATTGTTGTTGGAATGCAGAAGGCTTTTGTGCCAAGTCATATAACCCAAATCACTTTTCTTTTTTTCTTGAAAAGACTAGTTTTATTAGTTGCTTGGTAACTGGAGGATAGAAAGACTTAACTCATTCAGCACAGAGAGCTCCGGTTTGAACTCTATTAGGCCATCACCTAATGAGACATATCTGAAGTTGGTGTGTGTCGAGGGCCTGTTCCTTGCACTCTCTAATCCGTGCAACATTACACGTGGGAAGTGATAAGTACTTAGAAGTTACGTGAGCTGTCCAGGATTGAAATTGTACAGAAATGTGCTTAAAAGGGCTTTTGTTTGTCTTTCCTTCTGTAAAGAGTGGCAGTAGCTTCCATTATGACATTTCCAAAAGGCTCAAAATTACACCTCTTATTGGAGTGGGAGGTTCAGGGTGGTAACTGTGGCATAGTAGAAGGAAAGAACATTTACTTTAGAGCTGGAAACCCTGAGACTTTGGGCTAAGCCCTTGTGGTCTGACCCCCAGTTCCTTAATGTGAGACTATTGTGTATTACCTACATACCTCTGCACCACTCGGAAGATTAAATGAGAACACTGTTATAAACTGTGGAGGATTTAGAGGATGATCACTGTATCCTAATGCAAGCCCAGTGGTTACAAGTAGAGAATTAATTTAGTAAGATTGAGGCCTTTGGCTGGGATTGTATGGGCCAGAGAGGAGGGATAGAGAGATTTTTCTGCAGAACTGGACTAAAAATCCATCTGTGGAGGTAATGTACTCTTGGCCAATATGGCATTTGATGACAAAGCACTTGTGAATCAGGTAGCCTAATATAAAAAACTGCATGGGGCTGGGCACGGTGGCTCATGCCTGTAATCCCAGCACTTTGGGAGGCTGAGGTGGGCGGATCACAATGTCAGGAGTTCGAGACCAGCCTGGCCAACATAGTGAAACCTTGTGTCTACTAAAAATACAAAAAAAGAAAAAAAAAAAAAATAGCAGAGCATGGTGGCACGCACCTGTGGTCCCAGCTACTTGGGAGGCTGAGACAGGAGAATCTCTTGAACCCCGGGGGGCAGAGGTTGCAGTGAGCTGAGATCACACCACTACACTCCAGCCTGGCGATGGAGTGAGACTCCATCTCAAAAACAACAACAGAAACTGCATGGGATCCTCACAGATGCCTGCTGGCATCTCAAGGTAAGGGATCAGGCCTCTGGAGACATTTCCTCTCATCCAAATCCTTACTCCTCTTTGCTGGCCTGTCTCCAGACTTCCCTTTTGTAGAGAAAGCAGGGAATACTGCTGTCTTCCCTTCCGAGACCATGTACATCCTTAAGAGTACCTCAGACTTCCCACAACGTGTTATTTCTAGTTCCTCATCCCATAAATATTTGTTGAATTACTAGACAAACTGCTCAGCTTCATCTTCCAATTCCTTTTATGTGATGAGTGCTTCAGAGCTTATAGAGGGCTTCCACATGTGTTATCTCCTTAGAGTAGAGGTTGGGCTAGGATCTCTGGCTTTGATTGGTGACGGTTAGTGTAGTCTCAAAAAGAAAGAATGCCTGGACTCCTCGCTCCTCCTATTCCCAGTGTCTCTTTTTGGCAAAAGGCTTGAGTTCTTTGTGTCATTCTACTTGGGTTCCGTTGTCCCACAGTGGCTGTCTGTGTGGCTACAGGGTAAAGGCTGTCGTTATGTAATGTCTTTAGTGACCGCACACACAAGATCTAAAAGAAGTAGCTTTTTTTTTTTTTTTTGCCTGAATTTAAGAAGATTGTTGTGCTTTGGCTTGAAGCACTGGTTGTTGCTGCGGTGGTTTGGCGGTTCATATCTGGTCACTGGCCTTTGATTTCTGGAACCTTTAGAAAGAGGCTGCCTTTTCTCCTCTCCCTGACCACTGATTGCTGAAACCACAAGACATATGGAAATAGATTTCAGGGACTAGCCAAAAGGCATTCTGGTAGTTTGACTCACATGGTTTCAAAGGCTACCATTTTCTGATTGTGGCTTGTTACACCCTCTACAGAGATACTACTAGTACTTAGCTGTGTTAGGAATATTTAGTATCTTTAAGTTTTGCTTTATTTAACATTAACATCTTAGAATGGGCGTTCAAAGAGAAGTTTAGGACAAGTCCCTTTCTAGATACAAGCTTTCACCTAGATGTTTAGGAAGTTAAAACAACAACAATAACAGAGAATCAGCTTGATACTTTGCCTGTTACATCTGAACTCTTTTGATACTGTTTTGATAGGTCCAGCACTTGGGATAGAACCGTTTAGCTGCTCTAAATAGATAAATGTTGGTGTTTATATAGTAGTGTTAGGGAAGCACTTTGAAGCAGGAACTCACAGAATTCTGATAAAGGCCAGTTGTACATAAAATAGATATAATAATGCCCAGGACTTTTGTGTTGCTCTAAGGAGATAACACATGTGGAAGCCCTTTATAAACTGAAGCACTGCTCACACAAGAGGAATTGGAAGGTGAAGCTGAGCAGTTTGTCTAGTAATTCAACAAATGTTTATTGAGTGCCTACTGTGTGTTACCCTGTGGCAGGTACTGAAATATGCCTCTTTTGGAACTTCTGCATTGTTGCCCTTAGGTTCCCAGAGATACTCCTATGCTTATAATTCCTTTTACTTGTAACTTTTTGGAGAGGGAGTAATAGAAGTCAGGACATGGAAAGTTGTCTGGATGGTAGGAAACCTTACTTGCTAGTGCCTCTGTCTTCTTTACTATTCTGTGTTTGAAATTCTACCTCTTCAGGTATTTGGCAGAAAATGGCCACTTCATGCTTTTCAACTTTATCTCATCTCCAGTTCCATTCACAGAAGTGAAACGGTTCCATTTGGGTCCTGATTCTAAGTTCATAGCAGATGAAATCTGGTTGGCACAACTAGGTCACATGTCTAAACCTGGTCCAACCAAGTGCTTGTAGTAAGGGGATGAGAGTTGTGTAGTTTCTACGTGGCAGCTGAGGGTCCTGTCAGTTGGGGTGGAGGAGAGGAGACAATCATCCAATATCATGGTGAACATGACTGACAAGATCCTTGACCTCACAGAGCTTATAGTCAGTCTGTCAGGAAAGAAAGACATTTGTATTAGTCTGATCTTACACTGCTAATAAAAACATACCCGAGACTGGGTAATTTAGAAAGAAAAGACATTTAATTGACTCACAGTTCTGCATGGCTGGGGAGGCCTCAGGAAACTTACAATTACGGCGGAAGGAGAAGCAAACACATCCTTCTTCATTGCGTGGCAGGAGAGAGAAGTGCAGAGTGAAGGCAGGGGAAGCCCCTTATAAAAACCATCAGATCTTGTGAGAATTCAGTCGCTATCATGAGAACAGCATGGAGGTAACCACCCCCATGATTCAATTACCTCTCACAGGGTCCCTCCTGTGACACATGGGGATTATGGGAACTACAATTCAAGATGAGATTTGAGTGAGGACACAGCCAAACCGTATCAACATTACACAAATGATTATAGGGGTGGTATGGGTTGTATGACAGCTAGACCTAAACTTGAGCAGGAGATCATGGAAACCCCTGCAAGGAATGGCGGTGGGTAGGGTTAACCAAATGAGGAAGGGGGATGATGTGGATACTGGGAGGGCACAGGGTGGTGGGTGAGGAATGAATGCTTTAGGCAGAAGTGGCAAAGGAAAGAAAATGCCCAGCAGTAAGAAAAAATCTGGCCATTTTGCAGTACAGAGAACCAAATCTTTAAAATGTACAATGGCTTGCTTATGCGGCCATTCTCATTGACTTAGACTGGAAGTTCTTTGAAGGCAGGGACCATCTTTTTTTCTATTGGCTTTGGAACCAATTGGCATGTGGAGAATTTTATATGGCAGGGCATATTTAGTTTCATTAGGCAGTTTCTGAGTACAGCTTCTTTCCAGCTTATATCTGCTCTGAAATCTTATATGTCCATTACCATTCACTGGAAAGATGAATTACATACCTTACAGAGTGTGCTTTTGATATGGGTAGCTGTATCCCCACCCAAATTTCATCTTGAATTGTAGCTCCCATAATTCCCTCGTGTTGGGGGAGGGACCTGGTGGGAGATAATTGAATCATGTGGGTGGTTTCCCCCATACTATTCTCGTGGTAGTGAATACATCTCACGAGATCTGATGGTTTTATCAGGGGTTTTCCCTTTTGCTGGGCTCTCATTTCTCTCTCTGTTCTGCTGCCCTGATTATGAGGCCTCCCCAGCCACGTGGAACTGTGAGTCCATTAAACCTCCTTTTCTTTATAAATTACCCAGTCTCAGTATGTCTTTATCAGCTGTGTGAAAATGGACTAATACAGCTTTCTATCCCTCCAGATTGGCAAAGAGGGTTTTAAGGGAAATTGTGGTCATTTCTGGAAGGATCAAGAATTATCTGTTTTTCTTTCCTGTATAAGTACTGCTTTTATATTATTCCTACCCCCACCAAGCTCCTGAACAGATGTTTCAATGGGCATTGTTGGCTATGCTTTTGTTTTGAAAAATTTGAAATATTATTGAAAGAGGAGATGGTAGAAAAACCCCATAATTGATTCTAATATATATTTAATTTGGCAGAACTTGAGAGAGACTTGCTGGGATAAGGCGGGACATTTCTTTGATCTCCCAGACTTCTTATCATGGAAGGCAACAGGTGTCACAGCACGGTATGTTAATTACAAGTTGGATTGTGTTTGCATTCTTCCATTCTCGGATGTCTGTATATATATTGCTTTCTTAACTCTCTTTGACTGGATATACTGTTGGTACATCTGCATGTGATTTTGCATACTTGAAACATCTTGAATCTATCTTCCACCTCCACTGCACATGCCCAAACACTGTTGTTCCTATTAGCCCTGGAATGTGAGTATCCAAGGTGAAGACCATTCATTAAAATTGTTCACGTTTGAAAGAGATGCAAAAAATCCAGAGTGAAATGTGGGTTTTTCCAAAGGCACTTTTTACATGATGAATAAAAGGAAAAAATAAACACACACACACACACACACAGAGTCATGCGTTTCTTAAGGACAGGGATACATTCTGGGAAATGTGTTGTTAGGCGATTTCATTATTGTTGCAAACATCATAGAGTATGCTTTCACAAATCTAGATGGTATATTCTACTGCACACCTAGGCTGTATGGTATAGTCTGTTGCTGCTTGGCTACAAACTTGTAGAGCATGTTACTGTACTGAATACTGTAGGCCATTGTGCACAATGGTACTTATTTGTGTATCTAAACATAGAAAAGATATAATAAAAACACAATGTAAAAGATAAAAAATAGCATACTTACATAGGGCGCTTATAATGAATGAAACTTGCAGGACTAGAAGTTGCTCTGGGTGAGTCAGCGAGTGAGTAGTGATTGAATGCAGAGGCCTAGGATATTACTGTATACTTCTATAGACTTTATAAACACTGTACATGTAGGTTACACTAAATTTATTTTAAAAATTTGTTTAATAATTGTCCTTTGCTTACTGTAGCATTTTTTACTTTATAAACTTTTAAACTTTCTTACTCTTGTAATAACACTTATCTTAAAACAAAAACACATTATACAGCTGTACAAAAATACTTTCTTTATATTCTTATTCAATGAGCTTTTTTCTATTAACTCTCTTTTTCACTTTTTAAACTTTTTGAACATCACACACCGGGGCCTATCATGGGGAGGGGGGAGGGGGGAGGGATTGCACTGGGAGTTATACCTGATGTAAATGACGAGTTGATGGGTGCTGACGAGTTGATGGGTGCAGCACACCAACATGGCACAAGTATACATATGTAACAAACCTGCACGTTATGCACATGTACCCTAGAACTTAAAGTATAATTAAAAAAAAAAAAACAAAAAACTGAGATACAAACATACACATTATCCAAGGCTTACACAGGGTCAGGATCATCAAGATGTCACTAGGTGATAGGAATTTTTCAGCTCCATTAATATCTTTTGGGACCACTGTCATATATGCAGTCTGTTATTGACTGGAATGTCATTGTGTGATGTATAACTCGTCTGTGTGTGTGTGTGTGTGTGTATGTGTATTTTGGCCTCTAATGTTAACTAGGAGATTCAAGGAAGCTGATTTAACTGGATGGATGTGTTATATACTTGTTTGCTTTTTATGTAAATGTACCTCAGTTATCCCATACTGTAGAAGTATATATGTTGAAGTCAACAACTATTTTTCGATAAATTATGAATGTTAAAAATAGAGCATATGCTACACAACAGAGACTTGTATAAAATATTCATTGAGTGTGAAATTGTGGCTGCTATAATTAACAGAGTGAGTGTATGTGTGGGGATATATAGACAGGTTGGATATGAAATCTCTAAGTATGACAAGCCTCTTGTCATGATGACCTCAGATTTAAGGAGATGTATAAGGTCAGGGCAGGTCTTCTCATCTGAAAAAGATTTAGAATCTGGGTTCAACAAACCAGTGAGGAAGGAAATCATTTCCCAGAGGATAGATAAACCTCTAATAATAGTGGAGGCAGGTATTGTATCTTAAAATCAGCTTATTCAGAAAGGGGCCAAATCCTACCCTCTTTCCTTCTTGTTTAAACTCAAGGGAAGCTGGAAATAGCAGTACCATTTCTCCTATCTCATTTTTTTTTTTTTTTGTAGTGAGTTGATAGGGTGTGATAATTCAGCAGCAGGGGCTTCTAGCAGGGAGATAGCAGAGAACGTTTCACAAGCATGTCATTCTTAATGTCAGCAACCCCAAACCTCCTTGCGATTAAACAATAATTAGCCAAAGGTCCCAGGGCAGAGAGATGCATGTGCTTGTGAAAATGGCCTCTGCAAACCTCAGGTACATGCCATCTCTGGCAGGAGATCCCTGGATGAGTGGTGTGAGCTTTACCCTGGAAGGTATAATTAGTCACCATTATAGTTATCACCAGTGGGGAGGGCAGTGTGTAGGTGAAGATATCATCTTGGGCATTCCTCTTTTGGTGTGACGTTAATTGTTCAAAGTTATTTCTGAGAGAATCTTTCTCTAGGTTTTTTCCATCATTGTATATCCATGAAAGAAATGTTTTGATCATTTTGGCCAAATGGTCTTGTTTGTTAGTCAAGCAGTGCTAGTTGTCATGTGTATAGGCAATACCCCATTGGCCTGCAAACCCAGAGGACTCAAAGCTGGAACTAGAGATGGAGGAGAACCTGACTTTCCTTCTCTTTTTCTTTGATGTTGTACTCAGCACTTTGACTGCCTCCCTGATTCTTTCTGATGTCTCTAGGTATTCTGTGTCCCATTTCCTGGTTTCCAGTGCCATATTCAGGGACCAAGGAGAGGGCTTTTTGAAGCTAGCTGTGGCTCAGATAGAGTTAAGTGTGGTGGCATGCATACACACAGTGGACTCACAATATGACTTACCAGCTTTGATTTTACCACACTAGTTGTGTGACCTTGGGCAAATCTCTTCCCTTCTTTGAGTGTCACTCTTTTTGTCTATAGCATGGGGTTTGTTATATCTATCTTGCAAACTTCTTGTGAGAATCCTGTTAAAGCAATTTTTCCAAATTAGTTGGATTATAGGAATTACTTGAATGATTTGTTCAAAACACATATCCCCAGATCTTCTAGTTTTCAACCTAATGAATCAGAATCTCCATGGGAGATGTGAGAATTTGTATGTTAACAAGTGCCCAGGTAGTATAAGATCAGGTGCCTTTGGGCAACACTGCCTAACAGAATATGCATGAAAGTAGGATGTGACTCTGAGTGAGAGATGGGAAGTGTTTTAAGGGCCTAATGAATTTTTTGAATTTAAAAGTTGTAAACAAAAAATACAATTCTAAGGCCCCCTGCCATCTGAATGGACCCCTTCTCTTGGCCAAAGGCATTCCAAAGTTAACCCGAAAAACCAGTTCAGGCCATGATGGGAAGGGTGGGGGTCAGACATTCCTCCTTATACAGTCCTCCCTTCTGGAATTCAGGAAAAGCCAACCAACACTAACATCAAGACAGACCTTAAGTCTCATAAGAAATGTTTACAATCTATTCTCTCTAAAGCCTGCTAAGTGGAGGCTTCATCTGCATAATAAAACCTTGGTTTCCACAACTCCTTATCCTAACCCAGACATTCTTTTCTATTGATAATAACTCTTTCAACCAATTGCCAATCAGAAAATTTTTAAATCTACCTATGACCTGGAAGCCCCTGCTTTGAGTTGCCCATCCATCCAGATCAAATCAGTATTAACCTTACATGTATTGATTGATGTCTTGTGTCTCCCTAAAATGTACAGAAGCAAGCTATGCCCCGACCACCTTGAGCACTTGTCATCAGGACCTCTTGAGGCTGTGTCATGGGTGCATCCTTAACTTTGGGAAAATAAACTTTCTAGATTGATTGAGATCTGTCTCAGATACTTTTGGGTTCACAAAGTGGAGGGCATCTTGTTAACTTATCAGAACTTGCTTGGGGGCTTCTGGCCTTGCCTTTGACAATCTCAAACCTTGAGGAAGCAGAAAGTTTAATGCTCAGAAATGATTTATTGGCTGTCTGGTCATCCCTGCCATTTTTATTGGCTGTGACACTCATGACTCATTCTATTTTCATTAGTATAAGTTAATCATCCCCTTCCCCCACTCACCCCATATTTGTGAGCACCTTCAGAGGCCTCCCTTCCCATTTCCCTCTCTTCCAGAGAGCAAAGCCTGTGGACCTTGGGTACCAGGTTCCTCTTGCAAAGGTGGTTGCCCTTTCCCCTGGCCCACTTACAGCTTTCATCTATCTTTCTCTCTCCTATTTACTCAATATTTCTCCCTTCTGTATTTCTACTTGCATATTAAGGTGAAACAAGGAGCCCCTCCGAGCTTTATTGATTATAGATGGAAATAATGACAACACCTGCTCCATGGAGTTATTGTAGAGAAAGCTTCTAACATAATGCTGAGAAAGCTTTTTAAAGGTGTTAGCGATTTCATTTAGTTCCCTTTCTCTATCAGTTTTGGCAATGAGTCTTTACATTAAGCATAGAGGAAAGAGGGAAGTCCTTGTGGTCAGACTGACCTGGTTTCAGTGTCTCCATCATGTGCTGTCTACAAGAACCTGGAGCAAATTATTTACCTCTCTAAGCCTTATTTCCTCATCCATAAGCCCTCTCAGGGCTATTAAAAGAGTTAGAGGTTCTCTGAGTAAAACATGTAGCACATAGTATTTACACAATAATGGGTTCTTTTAATAAAAAATCCACATTGTCTGTTCCCTCTTCTAGAGTAAGGAAGGTGAGGGTCTGAATTTGAATATGCCAATTCCAAAAAAAACTTTGGGTAATAAAACACCAACCTGGCATCCTCTGGGCCAAGGAGAGGTTGAAATTTGGTGTTTATTTGGCTCTTACATGTGATTATTTTGGGAGGCTTTGGGGAAAATGAGTGCTGAAAAGGCTAGAGAGTCTTTTTAAAAAATATATTTTAGTAGAGTTAAGACTAACAAGTGATTGAATTTCACGTTGTCTAAAAGCTTTCAAACTTGTTTTTGGCAATGACAATGTGTAAGAACACCTCTCCTTTCTCTCTTCCTTCTCCACTTTCCTCTCCTCTCTTTCAGATTTTGTTTTTGTTTTTTTTCCCCATTCTCCCCTTTTATTGTTCTCATCCTCCGAAATATGGCAGCTACTTTTGTTTATCT